GATTCAATGTTACGCAGGTTTCCTAAAATAAGTTTTAGTACAGTACAAGAAATATGTTCAAGTCATAACACATTTATTTCTTTGATGTTTATGACTTCGGTTACAACGCGTATTCATCGAGATACGACGAAGTATAAGAGACGCTGACAGAAGCAGGAGACAAGAAGAGATAAGCTTAGGTGATTAAATAGGACGTACCATTTAAAATAAAACCCAACAACAATCTCTCAGTACGGCAAAACAATTTTTCAGAAGTCGGTTCACCTCCCTGAAAAAAAAACACTCTCCTAACTTCGTCCGTGACACTATAGTGAAGGTCACTTGTTGCTAGGCCGCTGGTCACACAATTTGCGTAAAAGCTGTGCTGTAAAAGTACTTTGATAACAGCATTGTTCAATGTGGCCTGTGGCCACCACAATCTCCTGACCTCAATCCGTGAGACTACTTTTTTTGTGAGGATTACTCAAAAATAGAGTTTTACCGAATAATCCACGAAGCTTAGGGGAACGGAAACACAAAAAGAAAGATAACTTTACCATAATCAAAGCAGAAACACTTAAACAATTCGCACAAAATGCACTAAAAAGGGTAGATGCCTGTCTTCGAAAAGTTAGTGCACATTTTCAGCATCTGTTGCAAAGCTATTCTGTAATTTCTTAACAAACAAAAGTAAGGAAAACAAGTTGTCTTGTTAAACTTGTAACCAAAGCTTATAAATACTGTTCTAGTTAGCGTTGCGTTTGAAATAAAGCATTCTTTATCAACGTCATGTTTGACAGTAACTATTGCTTGAGGTAAAACTTATTTTATATATATATGTCGTTTCGGAAGTTGCCTCTACTTGTGGAAAGACGAGACAAGAGAATGTTGGTCGGCATAGAAACAGATAGCGTAACAAGCAACATGACTCAAAACATACAGAAATACTGTCTAATCTGTAAAGATATTAAATTAACGTTTGATTGATAAACTCATTTCGCTGTCAGGTAGTCAAAAAATTTCCAACCCGTTATGTAATTCGAAGATTAATTGAAGTGTTCACAACAGTCAGCCACTGGACCGTAGCCCGAGCTTGTTTAATCCGGTGCTCTCTCTCACACCCTACGTTTTTAAGACCCGATTCAATACCATCTTTCTGTTTTGACTTTGACCTTTTAAGCTGTATTCTTTTCGTATTTTGAATAAATTTTTCACCTCTCATGTGCGCCTCATCTGTTCATAACATACTCGTTCATTTCATCTTCCTAACATATGTTTAAAAGTATAAATTATGAAGTTCCTTATTACGTACTTTTCTCCAACGTACTGTCACTCAAACATCCTGTAAAAAAAACACTCTCCTAACTTCGTCCGTGACACTATAGTGAAGGTCACTTGTTGCTAGGCCGCTGGTCACACAATTTGCGTAAAAGCTGTGCTGTAAAAGTACTTTGATAACAGCATTGTTCAATGTGGCCTGTGGCCACCACAATCTCCTGACCTCAATCCGTGAGACTACTTTTTTTGTGAGGATTACTCAAAAATAGAGTTTTACCGAATAATCCACGAAGCTTAGGGGAACGGAAACACAAAAAGAAAGATAACTTTACCATAATCAAAGCAGAAACACTTAAACAATTCGCACAAAATGCACTAAAAAGGGTAGATGCCTGTCTTCGAAAAGTTAGTGCACATTTTCAGCATCTGTTGCAAAGCTATTCTGTAATTTCTTAACAAACAAAAGTAAGGAAAACAAGTTGTCTTGTTAAACTTGTAACCAAAGCTTATAAATACTGTTCTAGTTAGCGTTGCGTTTGAAATAAAGCATTCTTTATCAACGTCATGTTTGACAGTAACTATTGCTTGAGGTAAAACTTATTTTATATATATATGTCGTTTCGGAAGTTGCCTCTACTTGTGGAAAGACGAGACAAGAGAATGTTGGTCGGCATAGAAACAGATAGCGTAACAAGCAACATGACTCAAAACATACAGAAATACTGTCTAATCTGTAAAGATATTAAATTAACGTTTGATTGATAAACTCATTTCGCTGTCAGGTAGTCAAAAAATTTCCAACCCGTTATGTAATTCGAAGATTAATTGAAGTGTTCACAACAGTCAGCCACTGGACCGTAGCCCGAGCTTGTTTAATCCGGTGCTCTCTCTCACACCCTACGTTTTTAAGACCCGATTCAATACCATCTTTCTGTTTTGACTTTGACCTTTTAAGCTGTATTCTTTTCGTATTTTGAATAAATTTTTCACCTCTCATGTGCGCCTCATCTGTTCATAACATACTCGTTCATTTCATCTTCCTAACATATGTTTAAAAGTATAAATTATGAAGTTCCTTATTACGTACTTTTCTCCAACGTACTGTCACTCAAACATCCTGTTTACAAACGCCTTCATTCCATATCATTTCGTTCGGGTAACAGAACACGCGGTATTTAATGCATTTAAACTTAACAAAACTGCAAATAATTAATGAATAACAGAGAAAGTCGTGTCTAAACGATCTGGCCTTCTACACCCCTTAACATTTAATTTCTTTGTAATAAGTTACAATACATTACATTTATTTGAATTCCTCAAGCTAGGTCCGGTATTTACAACGCATCCATTGCTTATGACGGAGGGATCTTTTGTTTCATAATGGTACAGTCAATTGCATAACCGAATGTCTTACAAAGTAGGTAAGAATGTTACTTTTGGAGTCAAAACAATTACATGTTTCTTCTTGCTGTCCACATATCACATGTGTTTCCAATGCAAGTTGAAAGGGAAAGTGATCTATATTTTCATTCGGTGGGTTTAATGCGAGAAGCCACGTTCTTTGAGATAGGCTGTTTGAAACGTGATATGCGATTTCTACCTGCAACTTCTGTGTCTTCCCCCACCTCTAAGTGTCCCGCATTCTTTACAGAGGTATTACACTCCGGATGATGCAAGAGATGAGTCGGCCAGACAAACCGACTCACAACAGGAAGGAAACAACACCCTATTGGAATGTAGTTCAGAAACATATACATATCTTTTATGATAATATTACATGTTTCTTTTAATGCGTCTAGTGAAATATATGTGGGCTACGTACGATTGTCTCATGTAACAAGATAATTAAGGAGAAGATATTTGTGAGGGGGGGAAGGAACACAAGAAATATGGCAGTCTACTAACAAATAAACGCTAGGAGGCGTGTCTTCGTTTAACCATGATGCACACCAAAGAAGTTGCAAACTTGTTGCTTGGGCTGTATATAAGGATATATCTCTGCTTCTTGTGTCACTCCCAACAGGACATCTCAACTGTTCAGATCGCAACAGAACCTTAGGAGTCGTCATGCCTTTGTCTAAGGTAAGGGACAGATTACTGTCCTCCAGGGAATTAGTAAATTAGTTTTATTCTCATTCTACGAGTATCACAAAAGTTAGTTACGGAACGGAAGATGTAGAGTGTGTTTTGTTTTGTTACCCGTTTGAGATACCGTAAGATGGCGCGACGAACATAAAGAATGTTACACGTAAACGTGTGGTGTAATGGTTAGTTTTATTTATTAATCCGTTAAAGATGAGTGGTAACTATATGTACCACCTCCTTTAACAGTCACTAACACTACATTCTAGATATATTTTGTATGATTCTCGACGTGAACATGGACTCTTTCCTTTTATCTTTGTAATGGTGAAGTACTGTGTTTTCTTCGCGGTACGGACTGAATTATGAATTACTATTTAAAGGAGGCTCGGTTTTGAGAGATTAATTTAGCCTAATAATCTAGATAGCACTGAAATATACGATAATGTACTACGAAAGACAAAGGTAATTATACCCCTCTTGGAGAAAGAACACAGACAGAGGATGCTGACGAGAATATCTGGGCCGAAAAGAGGAATTATGTGATGCTGGAGAAAATTGTATAGTGAGAAGCAAATATTTATGCGATGCTTTACAAAGTTTTGTTGGGAAACATAAAGGGGTCCAGTAGGACATAATCGCTGCTTATTCGAAGGTAATACGTATTATGGAGACGATGCCCAGATATCAATGACCCAGTGACTAAGATACTGGCTGACAACGGATACCCACTGAGATTCTTGTCTAATGGCTGCCAGGGGCAAAGCAATTTTAGAATAAAGCTGATCACTCGCCTTCATGTAATGCCATGATCAAAAAAACATAGTACTATACCATAATTGTGCCATACGTTTTCTTAACAGTGTTTAATTAAACACAGGAATATTTTATCTTTATATTTTCATAGACGTATGTGGTCAGATTCACGGTCTGGCTGCTTTATCTCTAATAAAAATATTCACTTTTGTATTTGAAATAAAACTGACCAAGACTCAAGCGATCAACGGAAAATACCCTGCCCTTGCATGGAATCGAACACCTGTCTTGCACGCAAAAGTCACTACTGACTGACTCGTCATGGATTATAATAAACGAAGTCTGTATATTAACGTAATTACTATAATGACACATCGATATCGGTGTTCTGGGCTGTAACGCTGTGTAAAATTGTATGCAGATAAGGTTTTGAGAAAACATACTGTCTCCATCTTCCGGACTGAAAACAACTTCAATGCAATGTTTCGCCATAACGTCGGTATCTGCCTATAAGTCAACACAGCGTTACGATTCACAAAACTAACAATGACACCATCACAACCGTGAGATCTCATTTAAAAACATTTTCACTGGGGATTCAATAGTAAAATAACAGAAAACGTTTCGTACAATTTTACTGCATCTGCGAGTAATTTTTAAGAAGTTGATAGAAGAATCTTGATTGTTTAATTTTCTTTCACGTTCAGAAGCGTTACATGTTCGCAATTAAGATAACACTGAGTTGAATATACTTCGAATGCTTCTCTAAACTATTTTTCTTTGAATACTTACTTGATTATTTCTGAAGTGATATGCAAGTAGCACTCAACGACACTACACATAAAATCTCATAATTGCGACAGGCCTACTGTGTGAGTAGACGAACGGTAATTTGAAGTTGACTTCTCACAGCGGAGACCAGGGTTCAATCACGGGTAAATTCAAGTGAGACGGTGATGAATATGGATCAATGAAGAAATGACAATTAGCGGAAGAAAACAGGAATTCAGAAAAACAGTGCCATTTTGTCCACCACAAATCCTACATTGACTTCCCTGAGAGCAACCTCGGGCCTCCGCAGTCTGAAGCCGGCAACTAATCGCCTAACTGTGCTAAACTACATTACTCAAAAATTAATGTCAGCGAAGAAATTAACCCCCCTTTTATTATCCGTTGTTAACTCAGTATCAAAAATCCACTGCATAGAGCAGAATACTTATTAAGATTCATTACTATGTAGGATTTTAGGTTACCACGGCGGTGAGTATGAAAATGGGTATCTTCTGGGTTGTTGCGCCGTGTTAGTAAACTTCTACCAGATTACATGGCGCAACAACCCAGACGACAGCCATCTTAAGATTCATTACTGTTTTCATAACAGTTCCAAACATTTATGCAGTCCACACCTTCTACATCCTACGTTTGCTTTGTTAAGATTGTATAATATAAAGTGACGTCAAGTTTCAAAAAAGTTTTAATTTTTAATCAGGCGTGCCCCGAAATGATACGAAGGGGTGAATGTGGTTGACTTCTTCTAAGCTCCAGAATTTGGGACAATATTTATGAATGTATATGCTACAACTGTTGCCATGGTAATGCTGTTAAGGGAGTTTTGACCGTATAGGATAATATGCATGATTGTGTTTACTGTTTTAGATTTTCCCTTCAACCTTGACGGGAAATTTATTAATAAAAATTATAAACAATTATCTTAATTAGTACGTCTGAAACGCTTGAGAATTCGTTCTTTTTCTTCTAGAAAGTAAAGCAATTATTTCCAATGGGAAGAGGAGACTGTAATTGTGATAAATATGATAATATTGGAATATTATAAGATGTGGGCCTATGATTCTTCTGTGAAGTTACTAAAGAAAAAAAATGTGCGTACGAGCAGCCAGTGTTAAAGCGAGAATTACCATAATAATCTAGTAGTTAAGGAGTAATACTGACCTGTTATTAAAAAAATATATTAATAATAAAAATAATGGAACCTAGGGGACATGTTTTGACCCAAGCTCATGTATAGATACACTACACATTGGCATAAAAAATTACAACTACTACAGAATCTCAGGGGAACAAGTCTGATCATGGTCACGGACATATATACTATAAGATAGCGTAAGAAATAATAATACAGATTAAGGGACGAGATTTTACTTTGAACTGTTGATTCAGGTGTTTACATTTCTTGGCGCGCTGGCAATTGCTGTGCAGACCGTACCAGTGTCAAGCATCGAGGAAAGCTACGGCCACTTAGCCGTAGCTCCCATTTCTTACTCACACGCACCAGCCCTGGAAATTTCGCATGCACCAGTCGCCATTGCTCACGCACCTTTAATCAGAGGATTGGAACCCGAAGTGAGTATTATTCACAGTACTAAAAGCCGTTGCGAAAAGAAAACAGTGGTTACGAATGGGAAGTTGTGTTGTTTGAAACAAAAAATTCAACAAAAGGTTTTAGATTGTAATGCAATTACAGGTAACTCTCGGTTTATGAACTTTCGATATACGAACATTCGCTATAACGAATTCATTCAAAATTTCTTAAAGTCGCCAATAGATAGAGTCCCTTATAAAACGAAGTGTTAAACGTATATTCAACATAATTGTAAGATTTAAATAAATAAAGTTTTAGAAAATTATTTATTACAATAATTATCAGAAAATTATTATATGATAATTATACTGAACTCTTCTTGGTTAATAAAACTAATTTATCCAGTAAAAAACGTTGGTTTACATGCCACGCCGCGTGGCGTACGTTACGTATCGTATACGATAAACCATAACGCATAGTACATTGTAATAAAACGTATTGTGTAGACCATGCGATGTTTAGTACATAGTTTTAATGCTTTAAAATTTCTGCTAACGTTACGATACGTATCGTAAAAGCTCAGGAATGCAAGATGATCATAACGAACAACGTCGTTCGTAAACCGAGAGTTGTCTGTAATGTACAGACAGAGAACAGGGTAAAGGGACTAATATCTGCACCCAAGATGAAATTACATATGAGAAGCTTAATAATTTAAACTTATCGTCAGCTATTATTAGGTTGATCAAAGAATAAGGGTAAGATGGACAAGACATGTCAGAGAAGAGAATTACAGAAATTTGGCAAGGAAATGTGTGAACTATAAAAAGCTTTACGAAAGCAAGATGAAGGCGCTACTTTTAATGAGGACGAAGATACTGCGTAATGGGCTTCATGGTTTGTAAACTGTTAAGGTTATCAGATCAGAGATAAGAGGACGGGCATGTGGAAGAGATGAAAAATTGGTATGGTAAAAGGGGTTTAGTGCGAGACCACTTGGGCTATATAGTTATAGATGACAGTATAATATTAAAATGGATCCTAGAGAAATAGGATTTTCGAGTGTGTAGTGACTCAGTTTTGGGATCAGTGGTGAGCACTTTCGAGTTGTGTAAACGGAAGGGGATATCTTGATAACCTGCTCACTCTTAGGTTCTGAACAAGAAGTATGTTCTATGGAGTCAGTTAATGATGATATTATTATTCATAAGCTACCTGATTTTATACAGACAACATAAGGTATTTACAGTACCAATCACATTTATGAAAGTTCTGTCTCTAGATGTTGGAGACTGTCTTTCGATTACATGTAAGATTTTATTTCCTAAAGCGACTGTCAATTTGACTAGGCTTTTTCTAAAGACAAACGTAAGTGAAGTTATCTAATACTTACGTAAAATAACCACGAGGCAATTAGAGTACTTTCTAAAGTATGCATGTTTGAACGAGTAACAAATAACGTGCACTTAATTCGAGTGATTTTTTAATATTTACAATTGACTTATTTATGCACAATATATTACTGTACTTGACAGTTATTTTCAACATTTCATGTGATCTAATAAACCAGCTCCATGCCGGTAGACATTTCAGTGGGAGTCTTTTAAATGTCACACAAGAACAAACGGTTTTAGATAAGACACATTTGAACCACTCTGCTGGAAGTATTATATCGTATGTACGAGGTGCGATCGGAAAGTTTCTAGACTGCGCCTATAAAAACCCGTACACTTATCTCAGGTATCAGGTTCGGCCATTTTTAAAACGTGAATGCCACATAAAAGTTTGTGCACGACCCATTGCGATCTCACCAAATGCTTGCTTTAGCATTTCATAGGTTTCCGTAGCCGTTTTGGCGAGTCTTTGGCAAAATTTGATTTGTTCATGAAAATCCGCCATTCCGAAATCGCAGGAGGGTCGGTGTAATGCACTACCAAAACGCCCGTAACTAAGAAACAAATGCTAATTCGATAATGCCGGCTGGCACACTGATTTACTATGAATGTAGGCCGCACCCCCTAAAGGCAGAACTCGTACTACATCCGGTTCGCCCGCTATTGACACAGTCTTTAAACTTTCCGATCGCACCTCGTATATGTAGAAGAGTCCCAAAAGGTGTATACGAGCTTTCAGTGAATGAAAGATATTTTTATAAACTAAACTGTTACATATGTCAGCACTGTAACTATGAATTATCAAAGCTAGTATAGGTGTTCAAAATGACCAATGAAACATTTTATGTATATATATATATATATATATATATATATTAATAGCCCGAAATTGACAATTTTCTTTCGTAATTTATATTAAAAAGTAACTTATTTGGATTTCACAAATAAGGAGATCGTCACGTGCAGAACTTTGTGGAAGTAAAATCCAATATCTAGATCTTTTTTTTAAAGCTGCCTCAAGAGGACAACTGTCCGTTCTTGCACTGCTACCATTATAAGCAGTAATTACATAGGCTATATTATCGATTATTATGCACAATCTGTTCCAGTCCCTACAAGGACTGGCAACAAAAACCGCATGGCCATATTGAGGATGCTATCAACGTTTTAGTAATGGCAGATGATCGTGTTGATTTTATCAGAGTTGCTCTTGTACCGAATGGTTCATTAGTACCAAAAACAGAAGATGTATAAGCCGTGTTAATACAGTAGAAAGACCATTATAAAATTTATATCAACGTCTACTTATGTGCATCTTGTAAAATCATTATATGATAAATACGGTGAGCATTTAATTATTTAAAGACAGTAAGTTAAAAACAAATTTAAATGCGTTTCTATCACAAATAATAAATACTCCCGTAGCTGAAATATTCATATGAAGTAACTTCGAACGTGCATATATGAAGAAGTTGATCATTTTTATAAATAATCACTCGTTTACAGTATGCAATAGTCTGTTTAAAGAGTCTGAGCCATTTAAAACAAAGCATAACTCACATAAAACATAAATAATGTCCCAAAACATTATTGGTTTCATGACATTCATCTAAAGCCAACTTCCTCGTAGGTTACTACAGATGAGAAGAATGATTCCAACAAGAAGCTAATCTTCTTTACTTGGATTGTAATTGTGTTCAACATATGTTTCAGGCACCACCACAATACGAATTTAAGTACGGGGTTAAAGACACACATACCAATGACATCAAAGAACAAGCTGAGAAGCGAGTTGGAGACAAAGTCGAAGGTTACTACAGCCTGGTTGAACCCGATGGAACCACTCGTACCGTCAAGTACACCGCCGATCACAACACTGGGTTCAACGCTGTAGTCACAAAGTCCGGACAGGCTGTTCACCCAGCAGCTCCCGTTAGGGTGGCAGGTCCTGTTCCCAGAGTTGTGGCTGCTCCCGTGATCTCATACGCGCAAGAGCCGATAATCTCCCACGAAGCTCCAGCGTTTAGTCTGGCCGGTTACGATCATCAGCCAGAATTTGCTTACCACTAACAGAATGATGAAACCAGCAAATTAACACAAATTGCTACGTGATCCAAAATTTGCTTTGCTAACAGGGCATCCATTTTAGTGTGACTTCAGATTAAAATAAGCTTCATTATGGCTAAATGACATCTCACTACAGCACTTACAAGCATAATTTGTCTTATTTTTCGATGGCTATTACAAAACTAAACAAAACATATATGAATTAACTCTGTGACTACTTAAACCTTCGACTCTTTAAAGGCTGGACTGGTTATCATTTAACGCGCGACGTATGGACTATAAAATAACATTAGTTACTGTATAAGCTTGAAGAATTTATACTTAAGCAAATAAGAATTATTCTTGATTCTTAGTATAAGTAAGAAATTAATACACTGAAGTAAAAGAAACTACTGCATTCCTGTAATCTGGCAGAGCATAACGTATTATTTAATCACTATAGATTTCGCTACTAATTAACACTATAATGCGTCATGTATGTCAATGTTACATTATTTGCGAGGAATGTTTTGGTGTCAGCTTCTGGTATTATGACGTAACCATTATTTACCTTGAAGTGAACGGATCTAAAAGAAACTGATATTATTTGATTAAATGGGTAGTCACGGCAAGTGTACATTATCAGATAGATTTGGCTTTACTCAACGAATATCACCGACTTCAAATCACGTTTAAGTGTTTATCATAACGTGGTATCATAATGTTCTATTACAATTTTACATTACAGTTACTTTATCATAAGCGTGAAAGTAAAATATGTATTAGTTTTTCATACTTTATTATCATTATAGGAATGTATTGTTATCGTATTCATATTGTTGAACACATTTCTTCTATCTATCCTCATAAAAAGCACCTTCATTCAAAGTCGTAATTACTTATTTTTGCCTTAGTCTTCTAAGAGCCAATAAGAATTACGATTCACATATAAAAATACATAACAAATCTTGATGGGAAATTACATATTGTTAGTAATATTGTGTTACAATTAAGATTAAACGTCAAATACGTATTTTGATAATAAATATATCCAATACCAGACTGTGTAAACTTTCTTCACATTTACTACATGAAGTAAGACTATCATATAGCGAGGAACACAATGATTCATATATGTAACTTGTATTGTTAGGATACTCGAATAAAGGCGGTTACATTGAAATGAACGACGAGAAGAAATGAAAAATTCAATCAGAACTTCGGCGTGAAAAATCTTACAAAATTGAAATATAGAAGACCGAGAAGGAAGGTAATATTACTATTTACGTCGGCAAAATACGATGTAGTGTGTGAGTTGGAATTAACTGATTCAGGTCTCTGTTTCATGAAATGCTGAATGCGCCTATTGCAACCTGTGGGCAGAATGAACAGCTTCATAATTGGTAGTCGTAATATACTAATTTCGGAGCAAACATAACAACACACGTTTCTTCCAATTCTCCTCGTATAAGAAAAGATAATTATGTTCCAGTGTTCAAATAAAGATAGTAACATAACGATTTATAGAGGAGCTGAAATAAAGTTTGACGTAGACATCGACACTATACCTAATTCAGATTCACGCTCCGCCTACGTAATCCCCATGTAAGAAAAGTCGATAGCCTTTAATAGGCGCGTTTCTGTGTGAACTACGCATATCAGTAACTAATGTAAAGGCCCTCAAATTCAAAGGGATATTATTTCTTTCGTATCTTCTTCTCTTTTCTCTTTCCGCCTATTCATATTTCCTTTCGTACATTTATCACGTTATCCCTCGTATTCCTTTCCCATCCTTTCTACCTAAGAGTTACAACATTGAGATATATCAGCAGTTTTAAGTACTGCTTCACTGTATTACAACATGTGTGCTTCTAAAAGCCGTCTAAAGGTAGCAGCAATCGTAAAATGTAATATTGTGATATGTAGCGTTATTACTGAAAACTTCTAGGTCTCTGTGATCTCAAATAAATATTAAACTGGTTCTGTATAATGCAGGTAACGAAAAGATTATATACGAGGTGCGATCGGAAAGTTTCTAGACTGCGCCTATACAAACCCGTAAACTTATCTCAGGTTTTAAATTCATCCATCACCCTCGAAGTAGTTCCCCTGGGAGTGAACACAACGATCCCAGCGCCGCTGCCAAGCCTGGAAGCATCCCTGGAAATCTTTCTTTGTCAGCCTGTCAAGCACCATCTGCGATTCTGCCTGAATCTCTTCTATCGTCTCAAATCTCCTTCCCTTTAGCTGAATTTTCATCTTTGGGAAGAGGAAGAAGTCACACGGAGCTAAGGAGGTTGCGGGATGACGGCCATGGTGTTTGAGGCCAAAAACTGGCGAACTTTGAGGGCGGTGTGCGCTGGCGCGTTGTCTTGATGCGTCGCATGTGGAGTTCTTCCTTTAGAATCAGCTGACAGGTCCCATAGCCTATCCCAGCAATGTCGCACAAGTCGTTGATGGTACGACGTCGATCTTCGTAACATTTTCGGGCGTTGTGCTCGAAGATGGTCGTCCAGAACGCTCGTCATCATCGACAGAGGTTCGGCCATTTTTAAAACGTGAATGCCACACAAAAGTTTGTGCACGACCTATTGCGGACTTCCCAAATGCTTGCTTTAGCATTTCATAGGTTTCCGTACCCGTTTTGGCGAGTCTTTGGCAAAATTTGATTTGTTCATGACACACTGATTCACTATGAATGTAGGCCGCACCCCTTAGCGGCAGAAGCTCGTACTATATTCGGTTCGCCCTCTATTGACACAGTCTGGAAACTTTCCGATCGCACCTCGTAAGGGCCGTAATTATATGTTAAAAATATCAATGCTTATACGCAAAGACAAATCGCACGAGTTTATCACATTTATTTCAAATTATTTAGCGTAGTTACATGAATTTAACAGGTTGGGCGGCTTAAGATCTGAAGCATAATTTTAAATGATGAAGAGAAATGGTAGGCTGACCTATTTCAATGTAATATTTCCGACATCTATAAGGAGAAATTGAAGAAACATACTTTAAACATAGTAAAATATAATCGGAATCTATGCCAACGTTCTAACTAGGGACCTCCAAAATACCCCTGACCTCTCAACCGAAATGTGCGGTAGTATTTTACACAGCGAGACCAATATCTTCAATACATTTCAGCGATAAGTAAACCAACTGTAATCACTGTTTAATATGTAACATGTAAAGAAACACTATTAGTAATGAAAAGGGAATATTCATACAATATAACATGGAATGAAATCATCAATTAACAACTAAGTTATAATTTGGACCTAAGAATAAGAAATAAAAGACGCGAGAATGCTTGAAAATTCCAGTACCTAGTATCAACATTAATAAACGTAAATAAATTTCATAAAAATTAAGAGAACAACAATGTTCTTGCTAGTACTGAGACAGAAAACGTGAGACAATGAACAATGGCGTACTTATTTACGATTTTGCAACGTTTAACTTATGCGAATGAATTATCCGAGATCTGTAACTCGCCATTTGTTCAATTTATTTTCTCTTTTTATTTATTTTATTCTTAGTTTATTTAATAATGACACTTTTCAATTTGACCGATTACAAAACATCGAATTATATAGATATTAGTAAATAATCAATTAGAATTAAAATCAAAGGAAACGATCATGGTTTAATTTAAAGTATTTTATCTGAACAAAATCTCTCATCACCTCACTGATTCGGACTTCAGGCTGAGATGTAAACCCATGACCCCCCCCTTCGAATATATAACAGCAGTGATAACTCCATGGCGATGTTCCGCCCTTTTCTGTTCAGCAAGAATTTTCAACAACTTCATATCAAATTCATATGCAAAAACTAAACAGTAATCAGCTTCTTAAGAATTATTAGAACAGAACGATTAAAATGTAAAAACAGGGAAGAAAGTGTGACGCTGTATTATAAATTGTCTTATGTTATCTTACATTATTCCTGATGTAGATATCAGATTACACATATTTTACATTGTTACGCCTTACACTGTGTACAACACTTTTAATGAGTCGTATTTTAGGTGAAAACCAAACGAAAGGTGTTAATGAATGGCGGAAACGAAGCGAGTAAAATGTAAAAATGCGGCTGTCGGTGACAATCTAAACAAGACCTATATGTCTGCCTCTCACGCAACGCGGCCATATAAAAGCGAAAGTATCTGCTCTAGTAATCATTCAGTCTAGTGCAGTGTTATTACTCGTCTCTGTTGGTTTTGGTAACATGGCTACTCTCAAGGTGAGTTATTATTAATTACTGTCTAGAAATATTTAAAATAAAATCTGTGTAACAACTGATCCATTACTATATACAACAGAGTACCGATTATTCTACCACAGGTTATCTCAAATTCCGTTTTATCCGACAGAGGACGAAGCATGTACAGTCCACAGATCAGGAGAAAATCCCTGCTAGGAATTCGATATACGCGCATGCGCAAGATTTCGCGGTGAGTGACGATCCATCCTAAAAGCATTCGTTCCACCACCACTGAACGAACAACAGACGACATGCTTTTATGTGTTCAAATGGGTACAGCTTTAAGTTTACCTCACAGCGGCACAGTGATTTAATAGATAATATTATCACAACACCCACAGAACACATTAGAGTTGGACTCACTACACGCTACTCTTAACTGCTTGATGTTTTCAGTCTGTGTGTAGTAGCGTAAAACTCTGACGTATCACACTTCCCACCAATAGCAGCCCTCTAGTCCAGCTGATAAGTAACATTCCCCCCCGCACCGCACCAGAAACGTCTTCCCCCAGAAGGGCTTTTCTCCTGGTCTGTGGACAGTAGCAGAATGAGTCACATTCCCCCACCACGTACCTTCTACATTTTATGTTCTCAGCTGCTACAGACGTTCTACTGTTTTGGCGCTTGCGTGATATTGACGCAAGGAAAAGGAAGGAGGCTCAGATGCAAATATCCATTAATACTTTATTAAAAATACAAATTCTTTCATTTAAAAAATTTATATTAAGTTATATACTATTTTATTTGTGAGATTATTTAATTTGATGCCGTGATGTATTTTATTCGTAATTTAATAATATCGTAAATTGTGTTAATTACTGAATTGATGTTTAACCAAGACATTTTATTAGTCTTCCGTATTTATTATCCGATATTTTCGATTATCCGACAGTCGTTCGGTCACGTTGAGTTCGGATAATCGGGACTATACTGCACTGACGCTTCGAAATAAGGAACTTGTATTTGATTATATCATATAGCGTCAAAACAAACAAATATTCTGGAAAGTTCCTGGCACTACCTGTACGAAATATACTTGAATTAATTCGTACCAGACTTCAAATACACTAGTAGGTAAGGAACTATCCATTGAATATACACAATAATTTCAAAGTAATGTTATTAGATTCTTACTTTCCTTTTCCACCTCCTAAGTAAACTCCTTTTCACTTTAACTTCTCTGTCTTGTGGCGCTTAAGGAAAATATTGCTTGTTTTATTATACAGGCCAAAATTGAATAATATATTTAAATGGAAAGCGTTTTTAATCAGTCGACGAAAGAAAATTATATTAATTTATGTTTATAATGTTCTTGTGTTCAAATATTTTAACATTTCATGAAGAAAATAAGTAGATAATGCTTCGATACAGATGCAAGGATACAAAAAACTATCCCATACTATTCTTACACAACATGTTAATACTTCGAATACAATAATTTTGGCAGGTTTCGATGCAGTGTTCCTGTGTAATCCCGGAACTCGTTAAAAAGCCCTTAAAGCCTAGTAATTGACGGTCGTTCGGACAATAAATTTTCATCCTTTCACCGACCTAGGGCGTTCATTACCGTATTTACATAAGTCCGTCACTGATATATTTCCTGAGCCAGATTAATCCATTCAACGTCCTCACACCCCACTTAAGATAAATCAACATAATATTTATAAAGAGTAAAAACTGTAAAACTGTTTATAATGTGTACTATAGCACACTTAAGCTAATCGCATGCATCAAGGCCACGGAAGGACTTCGATCCTCTTAGCCCGTAGCTCAAACTCAAAAGTACAGCGTTATAAGCTTTGCTACGCTGCGAGTTATAAACTGTCTTCACTTGCCTGGGCTCAGCTATTCGTGTTGTAACGTTTCAAGATTTTCCTGGAGGAAAATAAGTCATCTTGGCCCGACAAGTCAACTTTGTCTTCATATTACAAACACAGAGAAGGAAAACTTGTCATGATAATATGTTAATTGTTTTATTAAATAGGTGACGATAATATTCGCCATGTTGTTGGCGATTGCTCTAACACAGCATCACCAGGAGCTTCCACATTACGCTCCAATTCATTTGCAGGATCATCACGAGCTTGAAATCGAAGAACATCACCACGTAAGTTTAATCTCGAGAGAAATGTTCTGACAGTCGATTATTCATTTTACGTGATAAATCGCTATGCTACTAGCCCTATAATATGAATTGTATAAAACCCAGTTTTATTCTGTCCGTAAAATGTGCTTGGTTGTGCTAACATAGTTGTAAAAATACTTACTAATGACCACCAATTTGCATGTATTCCATGTTACAAATGTCGCTACTTTAAGACAGCTATTAGAAATACATATAAATGGTAAAAACTTTAAAGTAACCCATGACTCCTTAAGTCGAAACTGATCAGAAAGAAATGCGAGAGAAAGAAGAGAAGGAGATGAAGAAAGAATGAATGGCAAAGAAAGAAAATGATCTCCAGCTGAATTCAAACGGCCCTTTTTTCAGCAGTCATACGCATAAATTACAATTTGTGGCTTCCGTACTGGTGTATCTTGTTTTACCGAGAAACTTGTATTAACTATTAAAAAAGTCCTGATATTTTCGGATTTCCCGGGAAACGTCTGGGGCAATAACTTAAAATAGGCCACGATTGCTACCCTCCGAAAGATTTGCAATTAAAAATTCAGAAATCATATTACCATTCCGCGCTGTTAAAAGTGCGCAGTCGAATACCTCTTAAGCAATACAGAAGGGTACTTGCAGAATGTACATCGCCTGTTCACATATGACTTTGATTGATCTTCTATATTGTTCCTAAATGAAGTCTATGAACAAGGTCACTTTTAGGTCCAACTGGCTGCCTTCTGGCTCGTTGCACAGTGCTGCCTGTTATTAGTTTATAGACGTTTCAGAGGTGCTTGATGCCTCCAATTGCCCAGATGATAGTGGCAACAGGTACTTATCAGACGTCGGCAAACGTCTACCATACTACACAACGCAACAACCATCTTCATACTCTCCGCTGTGAGAACTTGGAATCTCACTGAAGTATGTGATATCACACACTTTATCTAGTATTTAGGCACGCTGCATTGGCGCCACATGGCGGTAAGTATTGTAAACACGAAGTAGACCGTTTGTGCATTAAAGTTTAAACTATTAATCAGCAACAAAATAGCTGTGATCATATGTTTATTCGAGAAGGGATGTACCGATTTTCACTAAATTTAACACCCTTATTCCCTGAGATCTGTAAGAGAACATAAGAGGTCAAATCTTCAGAAATATTGTCCAGAGTTCGATTGTCGGTGAGGGCATTTCCTGTGGTCTGAAAAATAAGTACAACAGAAGAACTGAGCCAAGACCAAAGTTGTTTGTTTTGGCGAGGAAATAAAGAACACAAAGGCCATAACCCAGAAAAAACCATACTGGGTTTGAGTCCTGGTGAAAATGTCGGGTTCAGGTATGATTTTGTCCTATGGTATTCAAAGATATATACCGGATGATCAGGCCTATGTAAAGTTTTAGGCCAATAAATAATATCAAACAATGTAAGCATGTTTCCCTGTCATAACAATGCGGGCACTGCTGGTACCTTATAATCTACTTTTATAGTTTAGAAGACTAATGAAATACGCTCTCATTTAAAATCTACTAAGTCGGTGTATTTACAGGCGCACCCAAAGTACGAGTTCAAATACGGGGTGAAGGACGAACACACACACGACATCAAGGAGCAGGCCGAGAAACGTGACGGCGACAAAGTCGAAGGCTATTACAAGTTGGTTGAACCAGACGGCACCACTCGTACCGTCCACTACACAGCTGACAAACACACCGGGTTCCACGCTCAGGTCGTGAGATCCGGACACGCCATTCATCCTGTTCAATACCACCATTAACATTTCTCCATTGACTGACTAAAAAGGAGACGTAATGTTGACGATGCAGGAATCCAAAATGAATATTAGAACAGCTATAAGTCACGTTCCCCCTGTGCGACAGGTTGAGGTCTTTGGAAAATTACTTTTGTTATATGCGTTTACAATTAGGTACGTACCTGTATTATGTTTGAAAAGATAGGCTTTAGTCAAGCACTCTGAACTACAAGTTGTACTTACAAAATACTTTCCTTCAAAGAAGGCATTTAGGTACAATGATATATTTACAACTGAAGTGAATTCTAGTCTGCGTTTCTCTTCAGAGAATAAGTTATTTTGAATTAATTAGGTATTAAATTAAAAACTGCATTTGTTTATTAAAGTCGCGCGTTCTGTAAGAAGTGATATCATAAGTTAAAAAATTAAGAGATCAGTATATAAAAAATAATACACTGTAATTATTCTGAAATACTCTTTTACGACTGCATATTAAAAGAATTCTCGATATAAAAACTGAACTACACACTGAAACGAATGTTAATTTCATAATATCTCACTAGACCTAAAATTGTATTAATGAAACTTCACTACAGTCACAGGGCAATGGACTTGCAGCGCATCTGTATTCAATGTGATTATACACCGTTCGTGTTATTAAGATATAATATTTATATAATATAATTTATTTCATTGGACTTGTTAATGTTACTCGCATGTTTACTCTCATTTTACACCGCTGTGTATGTCCGTTTAAACTGTCAATTTTTTTTGTAGAGTTTACGTAATCATGTTGATATTCAAAGTTATGTATTTCTGGATAATAACGTATGAGATGAAATCATTTCACCATTATAATAATTACCACATCTGCAAATTGTCATCAGACATCATGTAAAAGTTATCGTCATTATCTACATCATTCCAGTATCATATTATCATATATCACGCACGTCACAAAACTGATCTTCGTATACCATTACCGAACTATGAAAAGAGATCTAAGACTATTTATATTTTCTTTGCCATTTTCTTACTTCACATTTAATTCATTTATTCGCCATTATCTGATGTTTAATATCACACGTTTTTCCCTGATTAAAGTAAGATCAAAATCACTGCATGGTTTGCAATGAGTTATTATCATATCCATATTTCATGACAAAAATATAATTGGCGTTATTTATTTAAGTTTAAATGATTTTATATTATCATAACCATCATCATCAAAGGCAGTTTACTGCAAAACATCACTTGATTCATAAATTTTTACCAGTCATTTGAACTCTCCTGTTACTGAAACAATGATCATCAGTCATCAAAAAATCGACTTCCACAAACTGTATCATCATTATCACCGGCATTTCATCGTCATTTTTATCTTCACTACACCGTAGTAGCGTCTTAACGTAATACTCCAAAATCATACTCATAAAAATAACTTTAGTCATCATTACCATCATTACAATCATCGCGACAATTACCATTCTCATCGTATCATCACAGTGAAATATTTATAATAACTGTTGTTCATTACTGAATCTTTGTCAAGTCTCTGTAACGATTTATTAATTTTTTTGTACTTTAAATGTTACAAATATATTTTAAAGTAATTATACATAAATTATTATTAACCCATTTTGTTATCCTTGATAAACTGAACCTACGGAGTACATAATTTCATGTTATGCGCCACACTTGCTTTCGGGAGACCACTTCGGACCCAGTCTGACCATTATATATTCTACAGCATGAAGCAGCTGGCCTTTCAAGGTCACTATTCCTTATACACCGTCCTTAACCCACAAGATAATGAACTTATAATATGAACGAACTCCATGGACCTGAGTCATTCCTGAAAATTGCTCTCCGCTTAGCTATTCACGAAATACCATAGTTACTTGGTAAAATTTGATGTTTCTACGTCAGTGATGTATTCACAAAACGCTACGTATTAGAATAACTTTATTTAATTTAATATTACAAATTCTGAGCCGTGCTATTTAAAGCCGTGAAATAAATGTAGCAATATAATTTTGACGGGAATAAAACCAAACCAATTATTTATCATATTACGGTAGTCCTATATAAAAGTATTTTATAATACACTTTCGATAAGTAATAACAACACACTGAAATAAATACACGTGCTTGGTAGAACCCACTTTGACGCACTGAACACGGCAACTCGCCGGTTACAAGACTTTTACCACATGTATAGGTCTGTGTGCACAAAGTACCTTTGTCAAAGTATCTATTGTAAAATCAAAGATGGCAAAGGAAAAGACAGTCTACGTCTATATGTATTATGAGTGAGAATTTTTGTGTCTGCATATTGATGTATACTCGTGAAAGTTGTTGCCTGATAGAACACAAATTCAGATTTCTTATAAATAAAACATTAAATAGGTTTTGTATACTTAAATATGTGATTTCAGTGAATTACGTCAGATTTACAAAATGTATGCTTTTAAAATGGTCGGAGTAGCGTCCTGACTTCGAAAAATCAGTGTGACGCATGAAATGATCAATTCCTTTTGGTACACGGCTATCTCGAGGGCCGAGTTGTAAACATCACAAATAATCCACGTGGATTATAAGTTTAGTATCAGGGCTATAAAATTTTGAAATTCCTCTAACACATATTTCACTTGCCTGTTTCAAGACATGATTTTAAATGTCTAAACAACTCTTGGCGTATTTAATAATGCTTAATCTGCAGAATATGTTATTGGATATTACGTACTGAGGGGGTTCATAATCTGCGAATAAAGAATTATAAAAATGAGGAAGGAAGTGGCCATGGCAAAATATAAGGCAATCCCAAAGTACGCCTTGAGAGAGAAAAAATATAAATGCCCGTATCAAGAGAGGCGGTCTCTGGACTGACCTTTCAAACCGACTCTTCCTGAAAAAAAAAAGCAATTAGTGGTAACCACTAAACCGTAACAAATGAACGTAGAATTTGTAAAAGTTTTAAAAATTTCATAGAAGTAACATTAATCAAGTTGTGAATTTAAAAATTCCTTCGTTCACGAAGTAGAAATTGAGATGGTAGGAGAAGAATAAAATGTGTGGGCCAAATATGGAAAATTAAGAGAATCTGAGTCATGATTAATTAGAAAATTTTACTTCCCAGGTGTATGCATGTGCGCTTGATCGATGTTTATGATTATATTATCAGAAGTATCATAATTCATATTATTCCGAATGGAAGCAATTTTGAATATTTTATGACAATATTAAGATGAATCTTAATGACAAAAACTGTAGGAGTGTGCATTGCATTTAAATATTTAAAAGGATGTACTAATATAAACACGATATTTAACTTTTTGGTGTCCACATATTAAGGGAAAATTTCCCTAGCTGCCAATTAGTTTCCCTGCAAGTTCCCTGCTCTTTGAAATTAAAGTGAACGGAACCTCGTATGAATGACAATTCTCCACAATTTAAATTCTTTGACAATCAACCATTCAACCACAACCCAAAAAGTATGTACATAGAGTCATAGTCTCTCAGTTCTACTGCTACCAGATCATCACTAGCAGTGCAATGGCTCTTCTTAAAGTAAGTGGTGTGTTTATGTGGAACATATTACATTTCTTGGTAACAAAGTTCATATAATATTGAAACGTCATTTTTTACAATTTTACAATTTCACTATCAATATAGAGAAATATATTTGTCCTTAAAACATATTCTTGGAATGTTTTCGTATATCACGAGCAGACAGAACAAATTTTCTTTCACAGAAGGTCTGTAGTATTTTTATCAAGTGTGTGGACAATGTCGGGGGCGTTGCATAGTCTAATATGCCTTAATGTTACATGTCTTTGGGTGTTAACTTTAAAATGACCCGAAAGACGATTATAACCAATCAATATTACAGACTCACGCAAAGTGACAAATTGATACAAAACTCGTACGCCCAATCCATTCTGGTAAAGAAAATTGTGTTAATGATTTTCGGTTTTCTGAATACGGCGAGGAAATGCAAACAGAACGAGACCATAATTTGGAGTATTTTATTCCGGTAGTTAAAAACACACAGTCTACTGCACATCCATATAATATATATATATGGTGTATTTTCTTAAGGCTCGTCTTAATACCATGAAATTTTATGTACACTTCCATGCCTCTCACTCAAATCTTTGTATTCGTCTCTAATTTCTGAAAGTTTATTTTCATAATTACTCACGCGTATTACATTCCTTGGGTCCATACGTTAGTCAGAAACAATATGTGGAATAAGTCATAAGAATACAATATATATAAACAAGAGCAATTAAAACTATTATAAAATTTTTACATAGAATAAACAAAGATTTCAGACAAAGTAATAAAGCGTTTCAAAGAAATCCACTCGTTTACAGAAAATAAATTATACTACCCATTTATACTATATAAAGGCAAGAAAACCTTTAAAAACATTGCCACCTTCAAGTACTCGGAATTTATAAACAGAATAAAACAAGTGTGACTTAAGTATCTTTTATGTTACTTCAAATTGTGACTTCTTTCGTAAGACTAGATGGTAAACTGCTGAAATTTTTGGTGTGAGTATAGACACTACATATCTGAAAGTATGAGAGATTGGCAATTGGTCTATGAAGCTGATATTTATTCCTCGTCTTAAGAGTGTGTACAGCGGAATTTATCTGAAAATGTTCTAGGTTATTCACAGTGAAGTTCCTTAACGTGAATTTCTAGGTTTGACACCATCTATTATTATAAAAAATCTATTTTGTAAAGTTAAACTCGTTTTTCTGTTAGATGAATTACCTCCATAATTATTCCATACTTTATTATAGAGAAAAAATAGATTCGTTCACGAAGTAGAAATTGAGATGGTAGGAGAAGAATAAAATGTGTGGGCCAAATATGGAAAATTAAGAGAATCTGAGTCATGATTAATTAGAAAATTTTACTTCCCAGGTGTATGCATGTGCGCTTGATCGATGTTTATGATTATATTATCAGAAGTATCATAATTCATATTATTCCGAATGGAAGCAATTTTGAATATTTTATGACAATATTAAGATGAATCTTAATGACAAAAACTGTAGGAGTGTGCATTGCATTTAAATATTTAAAAGGATGTACTAATATAAACACGATATTTAACTTTTTGGTGTCCACATATTAAGGGAAAATTTCCCTAGCTGCCAATTAGTTTCCCTGCAAGTTCCCTGCTCTTTGAAATTAAAGTGAACGGAACCTCGTATGAATGACAATTCTCCACAATTTAAATTCTTTGACAATCAACCATTCAACCACAACCCAAAAAGTATGTACATAGAGTCATAGTCTCTCAGTTCTACTGCTACCAGATCATCACTAGCAGTGCAATGGCTCTTCTTAAAGTAAGTGGTGTGTTTATGTGGAACATATTACATTTCTTGGTAACAAAGTTCATATAATATTGAAACGTCATTTTTTACAATTTTACAATTTCACTATCAATATAGAGAAATATATTTGTCCTTAAAACATATTCTTGGAATGTTTTCGTATATCACGAGCAGACAGAACAAATTTTCTTTCACAGAAGGTCTGTAGTATTTTTATCAAGTGTGTGGACAATGTCGGGGGCGTTGCATAGTCTAATATGCCTTAATGTTACATGTCTTTGGGTGTTAACTTTAAAATGACCCGAAAGACGATTATAACCAATCAATATTACAGACTCACGCAAAGTGACAAATTGATACAAAACTCGTACGCCCAATCCATTCTGGTAAAGAAAATTGTGTTAATGATTTTCGGTTTTCTGAATACGGCGAGGAAATGCAAACAGAACGAGACCATAATTTGGAGTATTTTATTCCGGTAGTTAAAAACACACAGTCTACTGCACATCCATATAATATATATATATGGTGTATTTTCTTAAGGCTCGTCTTAATACCATGAAATTTTATGTACACTTCCATGCCTCTCACTCAAATCTTTGTATTCGTCTCTAATTTCTGAAAGTTTATTTTCATAATTACTCACGCGTATTACATTCCTTGGGTCCATACGTTAGTCAGAAACAATATGTGGAATAAGTCATAAGAATACAATATATATAAACAAGAGCAATTAAAACTATTATAAAATTTTTACATAGAATAAACAAAGATTTCAGACAAAGTAATAAAGCGTTTCAAAGAAATCCACTCGTTTACAGAAAATAAATTATACTACCCATTTATACTATATAAAGGCAAGAAAACCTTTAAAAACATTGCCACCTTCAAGTACTCGGAATTTATAAACAGAATAAAACAAGTGTGACTTAAGTATCTTTTATGTTACTTCAAATTGTGACTTCTTTCGTAAGACTAGATGGTAAACTGCTGAAATTTTTGGTGTGAGTATAGACACTACATATCTGAAAGTATGAGAGATTGGCAATTGGTCTATGAAGCTGATATTTATTCCTCGTCTTAAGAGTGTGTACAGCGGAATTTATCTGAAAATGTTCTAGGTTATTCACAGTGAAGTTCCTTAACGTGAATTTCTAGGTTTGACACCATCTATTATTATAAAAAATCTATTTTGTAAAGTTAAACTCGTTTTTCTGTTAGATGAATTACCTCCATAATTATTCCATACTTTATTATAGAGAAAAAATAGACAAAATAAACTTATTTGAGTGTGTCAGTGTTGCTGACATGAAACATAGATCTAACTGAAAGCATGTTCCACCTAACTTCGGAACCATCCGATAAACAATCAATTACATTGGCATAACATTTTATTTTAAACCTAAGCTTTTCAATAACTACGAAATCTGGTCAATGAATCAGAGGGATTTAGCAGGACGAAATACAGCAGGGATGGATTTGCTGAGATTATTAGACTGCAGAACAAATGAATACATTTTAGGAATCTGCCTGGACCCAATCGGAAATATATTAGCTTAGTATCATATTAAAAGAATTGTTTTATGACTTCTTTATTCCGAATCCTATTGCCGTGTCATATGTGGATCCATGGAATGTAATAAGTGTATGTGAGTGTGTAGACATACAGAGCAACTTCTAGAATATCGACCATTTGAAAGCGGAATACGTCAACGACCACTGAAAATATCCCGGACGATCTACCAAATAATTGCATTCTAAGGCGTTTCTGAACCAAAATCTCATACGCCTTTCTTATGTCTTAAGGTTCTTTATAATAGAATCATTCGATTCTCGTCTTTCAAGAAACCTCGTTCAAAATCAAAATTCTATGAGTATTTCCTGATTTCACTGGAACAAGAGCATCATTCAAGGAGCCTGTGAAATATTTCGGGAGAAGAAAATTACAAGTAATTCCGTCAAGTAAATTACTAGTTTTCCTACAAGTTCTTGTAATGTCAAATAGTTTGTTGCATTATGTGCTCAATTAATGTTTTATTGCCTCATTAACAGAAAGAGGTTATGTTTATAGTTACATGAAATAACGCTTAAATAGGTCTGCAAGGTATGTTAACATTTTAGGTTACTACTTTTGAAAGTAGTGTTAAACAAAATATAATCAACTTAATTATATGATATTTAAAATGTACACGTTTTATCTGTCATATATTTCGTTTCTGCGCAGTTGACCTCTATCCTCGCCATATTATTCCTGTCAACCACTGCACAGGATTTTCTGCGAGCAGATGAACACAGCGAGGAGAAAGTTTTTGTAAGTATGGCCTCTTACCGTTCCTGTATATTATTGTAGTTGTGACAAAGACTACATCCCCTTGTACGTAGTCAAAAGTACTGAGGTTCTGTACCAACCCCAATGCATTGCCATGTTATAACATGAGTCCATTCAGATAATAACCAGACTAGCAACAGCATGTACATAATAAAACTCCTTAAGATGAGTTCTTACGTAAGATTTCACATATTCAGGTTAGGTAGGACGATGATTATCATCTAGGACTTGGCACAGTGTAGCCACGAAGGTAGATGCCAATGTTTCAGAAATAAAAATACACACCGCCTTCATGGGATAAAGTGACGATACTGGAAGCTGCAGAGATTTATATAGGGCTAGAGGAAGGAAGTTTTGTTATTAAAATAAACGACAATATCAATACGCCAAACAAATGCTGTGTTGCTGATCTTAAGTAACGTTTTTTATATTTGTAGGCGCATCCGTCTGATAAGTTGAGACACGGTGTGGAAGGCGACCTGGGCATCGAGAACCAGCTACAACAAGAAGAGCACATCGTACTCAAAATAGACGCAGTTGTGCACCTTCACCGTTATGCAGACAAGAACGAGGATCACCCTATCCCTGTCACGAAGCATCCAGAACAGGAAGAAGTCGTGGAGGAGATGGAAGCGGACGAGGAGGAAGGGAACAGTGATAATGGAGAAGTAGAGGTGAAGGAAACGATAGCAGAAGGACGAGCGATTGATGGATACGAGGAGACAGGACAGAAAGTGGGTGAGGTTGGAGTAAAGAAGCTTGAAGAAACGAAAGTACTAGATGATGGGACGGATGACACAAGGTATGCTGAAGAAGACGTAGCAGAAGAGGAAGCGAAAGTTAAATGGACAGTAACAGAGAAGACGTCGGAATCTGAAATAGAGGTCAGCTTAAGTAACGCCTTAAGGATGCCTACAGAAGGTCAATATCTGGTACTCGACAGAGACGGAAGAATAAGACATTACCTTTATCCTCAAATGAAGAAGTATATGCAACGTAGTAAATATGACCCCAAGCGTGAAAGACACGAAACGACGGAAGAGAAAGAGAACACCGATGACAGAAAGGGAAACGGAGAAGACGAAGGAGGACGAAAGGAGGAAGAATATACAATTGATGAAAGAGAGGCGAAAGAAGAAATGGAAACTGCAGACGACGAGTTTGTAGAACATGATATAAGAGATGAAACGAATGGGTATGTTAAGAAGGAAGAAGATAGTACAATTGAAGAAACAGAGACAAAAGAGGGAATGGAAACCGAAGACGACGGGTTAGGCAAGCATAAGCTAAAAGAAGAAACGAATGAAAGTGTAAAGAATGTGTTAGTCTCGAAGGGAAAATGCAAGTGTAACGTTCAAGTTATAGTTGAAGAACTCTGATTGATAATGCCAATAAATCGGAAACTAAGTATGTTGGTACTTTTGGTGCAATTCTGTGATACGTGGGATAATCATTTGCAGCAGATTAAAAAAATCAAACGTCTCGGTACTTACACCAGTAATAAAGTTATGATACTTGGGGATCTGTTTCATATTTCGACTGCAGCCCCGAGTGTCAAACTACACACTATGTGTTAAAATGCAACTCTTATAAGGCAAACCTCTTGCTTTATTGCTATAAGCTGATTCTTTGTTGTACGGAACGAATGTATTCCTTGAAATTCGTTGGTAAGGCAAACATTCCTTTAAAGAAACGTGTTTCCAAATTAGTTCAGTGACATATATCGCAAATATTGTCTTTAAATCTTACTGTATTCTTAAGTAACACACATATTTATAAAATAAAAACACGGGAACAAAGTCCACGATAAAATAATAATTTGCCTGCCAAGAAATATCTCCTTGTTTATGCAAAGCCAAATTTTGTTACTGTTAAAAAAAGGGTCACGCATGGACACTGTCCTGAACCAATCTCAATCAAGTCCACGCCTCAACGCATTACTTCTACGAGATTCAAAATTTACGTACGATATTTGCCCAATGTCTTCAAAACCAAACTTATTTTTTGCTGCAGGGGCCTGTCTAACTAGCATACACAGACCCAGTAACAAATCAAATTTACATTCACAAATAACTTGAAAATAGATTTAATTCGGGGTATATAGATGCTTCCATTGGGCTATGAAACTTTTCTGTTTCCACCAAAAATCTATGTTGCAACTAAGAAAGAGGGACCTATAATTTTACCTCTTTCGTATGCGAGGGGAAACTGGGTCCCACCGTAAGGAATAAAATGTTTGATAATGGCTCCCTAAAAACCAAATAGTTCCAGGGTGTTCGAGAACAGGAGGACAGTAACTGGTAATAATTGAGCACGTGATAAGAACGTGCACAAAACTACTCAATAAGAAGCATCAATTTGTATTTGTCACCTAAAGTTATCAAGAATATTAAATTAGAAATTAATCTTAGCGGAGCATGGAAAAGAAAAGAAATTAAAACAGAAGTTTAGTAGGAAAATCTGAAGAGAAGAAACATCTACATTGTCTGAGTGTAGATGGAACAGGATGTAATAGACAGAAGAAACATGCAACGGACTTTCGGGTTCCTTATAAGGCGGGTAATTTGTCGACTAGATAAACGACTATTAACTTCTGAACAGAGCTATGCAACATGCCACACAAGGGTAACAAATACAATTTCATATTACTTAATGGGATCATGAACAATAATGTAATTAATGGATTCTTTCATTCTAGATGTAATGTCACTGTTGGTTATTGTATAAAGCCACAGTAACCTTTCTCAAGCTTGGAATTACTAATAAACCTTATATCTCATCAACATGGCTGAAGGGGCATGAAACATTTTCCTTCTGGAGAATATTCTAATTCGCTTTCATCGGAAACTTCTGGATGAGGCTGTATTTGTTAATCATGTTTTCGAAAATGTATAATATTTTAATAACGTTTGATACAAATAAATGTGTTAAGAGTTTGTGTTGAATTTTGGAATGCCCATTAATTATGCTGTGTCGAGTACGCGTGAACAACACAGAGGGTTCTTGACGGATTACTGTCCTTTATCAATGCCAGTATTTTATATTTTCACATTGTATTCGATCCATTTTTTATATACTAACACTGGTGGTGCATGTGTACATATTATTCATATGGTGGTCTGTGGTATTCGGTTTCCATATCGAAATATACACACATTCGTTCTTCGCAACGTGCATTTAAAGGTTATGCATCTACCTTGTACGGCGAAATAAATTTAAAAGTTTAAAAATTTCTACATTTTCTAAATTTTCAAAAAAATCGAAATTTCAAAATCCAAAATTAAAAAAATTATGATTCTCACATTCAAAAGCCATATTTAAACATCTATCATATCCTAAACTTCCTTAACTGTAAGTAAACAAATCTAACAAACTAAAATGTCTCAATTTGTATCTTATATGCGTCATGTTTGTGTTTGATTAAATAAATATATATATATATATATATATTTATATATAAAATGTCTCAACTTCACGTAACGGACTCGACTTTACCTACATAACCGAAACTAGCGTGTCCTACCTAACCTCTTCTAAACAAAACTGCACCAACAAAAACACGAATACTTCGGCTGATTGCCGCTTGCATCAATCAATACAATCCACGGTAAACATTCAAAGAACGCATAATCGTAGTCGTCAATGGTTAACCACGTTAACTATTACCAAGAAACAAATTCCTCCTATGGCCACCAGATCGCAACACCTCAATGTCCACCCACTACTTTCCTCATTACTTCATTCTGTCACTGGTCGTAGGATCTGTGAGTAATGGCACATTATGGAAGTCATGAAGATGTAAGAAAAAATACTGAACCCTTTAATTCCCATGTATATGTTACAGGCAATTTATGAAATCCGGCAATGTATAGAATGCCTTGGCGGTCTATAGGATGCTGGATTCAATGTTGGAACTATGAGACGGACTGAACAACAACCGACTTCACCTACTCGCACAAAATAATGGACTCTTCCTCTTGGCCATGTCTGCGACGCGTGCAAAGAATTCATTGTCGCCCATATGTTAATATTGTTTGGTTGTGTAAATTAAAATCAATCAAAGTCGATTGGGTAAGCTGTCAAGACAGTCGAGAAAACATCAAGCTACTGAAGCTGAACATAACAAAAGTTTTGAGAATTAAAAAAATGTTTTATATTAAATTTTTGCAAATATAAATGATAAAATAAAACTGTACAAATCGTCTTATAGAAACTTCTTTGTTATATACTTTTCCTAAAGAATCTGAGGCATTTTATAAAATACCTAGGCAAAGTACAAAATAAACTGTTAGTTTCATCACTAACTACACCGAAATTTTGTGGGGAAAAAATTAAAATGTCGAAGTGAATTTTTAGTGACACGTTGCAACTCCATTGCTTCATATAACTGGAAGAGTCTCCACGACTTTCTGGTAGCTATCTGCTTTATTGTTTCCCAAGAAATTGCTGTATACATCTTTGAATGATGTCAAAGCTGCTAGTTAAACTTTATTCAAAACAGAATCTTTTGCAAGTTTCCTTATTTTTGGGTCAACAAATATTCCTTTTTTTATCTTTGCCTCACTGAATTGGGGGGAATTTCTGCTGCAGATATAAAAAGCAGGGCCATCCTTCTTCATAGCTTTACCAACATTTTTGACTAAACCAAGTTTTATATGGAGTGGGGGTAAAAATACATTCAAAACATCAACTAAGGGATTCTGAACAACATTTTCACCTGGGGCCAGTTTCTGAAGTTTTTTCAAATGTTTCACCGAATAGTGCTTGTCCTTGGCTAGGCTATCCCATTTTCAAATAAAGCAACTGTACTAAGTGTATCCTAATTTCATGCCTAACAAGAACACCATAATTCTCAAGTCACCATATACGTTCCAACACAATGCTCGTAGTTAATTTTGACAAGCAGGTTTTTCAAGTTTTTGTAACTTTCCTTCACGTGCACTACGTAATTGGTATGAAGGAATGTTTGTTGTCAGTGTAAGGAACTGATTTTAGACTATGCTTCAACGAATCAACGAATGTCTCTACAGTATATCAAATCACCCGCTGAATCAAAACTTTTACCAAAATATTTTTGCCGGTAACGAAAGATCGAAATATTTGTATTCTTCTGCAGCAAACTCTGACTTGCAGATAAAACATATAACTTCTAAGTTATATGTTATTCTTTAATGACGTACAGTTAAATAAAAAAGCCAAATAGGACAGGCAGGAATGAACAAAACAATTCTTTAAACACTAGCCATAATTACCCGTAATTAAAACGTTTTTTAATTTTTACAAATCTATGGGTGATAGAAAAATTGTTTTTAATTTTACCAACAATAGGAACACACTGAAATCATGTATCATACATTAGGAAACAAAAATAATATATATGAGTGTAATTTTAAACGGAACGCAATAATCAACAGGAGTTGATGAAGATGCAAGAAGCAAAAAAATCTTAATATAAATTGGGTAAACATCAACAAAACTGTGACGTATCGCTTAACAACGTAAACACTCTTACGTAACTTCACTCTCTGATGGATAAACCGAACAATCAGCGACGCATTGCCTAACTAACTAACTAACTAACTAGATGGCTTACCGAACCCGAATTTTCATCACCGAATTAACCAAATCCCTCCAACGATCTGTCCTGGGCCAACAAAATCCAGTCTCCTTCAACTCCTATCCCCCACAGATCCCGTCTGAGATTATCCTCCTATCTACGTCTAGGTCTCCCCAGCGGTCTCTTCCCTTCAGGTTTCCCAACCAATATCTGGTACACACCTCTTGTCCCATCAATGCGTGCTACATGCCCAGTCCATCATTCTTCTCGACTTAATCACCCTGACAATACTGGGGGAGGAGCACAGATTTTTAAGCTCATCATTATGCAGTTTTCTCCATGCCCCATCGTCTTCTCTCTTAGGTCCAAATTCGAATTTCTAATTGTTTACTGGAATAGTCAATTGCAATCAATTACTGCCGTAAATGACTGACTTTTGTTATTTACGGCAAAAATTGATTGCAATTGAATATTCCAGTAAACAATTATAAATTCGAATGCTTAAAACGACAAGGAATGTTTAGTAGCCGAAAATCTTGATGAAACGGATAGAACCTTAAGAGTCGTGGTATGTGTACCACCTGCTTTTACGATTAATAACCCTTCATTATGTATTTGTGGGTTTCGTATGATTCTCAGGGTAAACAGAGATCATTTTCTTAAACGGCATTAACCGATTGAGTGTAGTGTTTTCCTTGCGGTACGGATTGAATTCTCAGATAATATTTAGACGATCTTCGGCTTCAGATGGCTAATAAACGGGGCACATATTGAGAAAAGTAATTCGAAATCTTTACATTTCTTGATACATCAACTTTGTTAAAGCTTCTTTGCCAGTTGTGAATTTGTTTTATTGTTATATTTTATTGGTATTTGTTGACGTCGACACATTGCCTAGCAACATAAAGTCTAATGTCATCAGACTCATTGTTTGCGTATCTATAGTAACGTAATAAACTGCCCGATCAAGTATTCAACGTTTGGAAGCTTCCAGAGTTCGGATCGTCGTCAAAGCACAACAGAAACTGAACCTTCTGCCACGTCGAAACTAAGGGATCAGGGTTTATATATGGAAATGTCGCAATCCACAACAGTAAGTAAAATCAATCTTGCGTTCAGTGAGTGATATATAAACAGTGGGTAAAATGTATTCACACAACATATTTTTAGGTTGTTCCTTTTTATTGCATCGACAAAATTTAAATTAAGGATGCATCTATAAAAAACATTTACTGGCGAAGAGTAAATAAAACGTCAAAAATATCGTAACTTGTCATAAATAAAATTAAAAAAAAACGTTACATCGTCATCATGAAGCTTTCATGGAGTTAGGCCATTTGTTGGCCTGTTACGGTTTCACTTTTCCAAAAGCCTCTTCAGATGTCTTCCTCGACTTCTTCTTCCTTTTGGTACATAATTTCTTAAAATTTTGGACAACCTGTTTCTTGCCATTCTGTCTACATGTTCAAAATATTTTGTTTTATAATTTTCTATTTTTTCTAATTCTGGAACTATTTTCAAGTCCTCTACAATTTCTGTATTAGTTTTGTAATCCATCCAATTGTAACCTGCTGTTTTTATCATGTATTTCACTTCTGCTGCTCTGATTGTCCAATTTTCACTGCCGTATAAAAGAGTAGGGAGAGCTAGAGTTGTATAATTTTAATCTGATTTTCTTTAAAGTTTTCTGCGGTTTAAACACATTGTTTATTATGCTTTGTTGACAAGTCCTACTCCCACATCCACGTCGTGACCCCTGGGCAATGCAGTGTTTAACACAGTAGCAGACGGGAAAGGGTGCAGGCGAACTTCCAGCGCCTTAAAACTGGAAGCCATCGGATAAGGGAGCATACCCCTACAGAAAACATGCAAGTCCAGAGGCATAAAGGTGGCAGCCCCACCACCGGACTTACCCTGCAATAGGCCCTTAACCTACTCAGGGGACATAACACATTACTGGCAAACCTCACAAGAAAAAGCCGGATGAAAAACATTACATTCAAGTCCAAAAAGTACTCATAAATATACAAATTACAACAAAATTATTAAATTTTCTTGAAAATAAACAAATTTAGTACTTGGCCTTAAGTTTTATTGGCATATAGACAATAAGACTTCTAGATTTGTTGTGTTGAACCTGAGGGTTCTGCTACCAGGGAGTTAGTTAGTTTGTTTATTGGAATTCACAAGGTTGCTAGCCACTTCTTGGCCTATTTTATCATATTCCTTCTTCAAATTTTCACCGACCACGTGTATTTACAAACATTTGTATTTCCTAATTATTTTTCTCCCCAAAAGTCACCAGAGATTTTCTATGGGATTAATATCCGGAGTGTGGAGGAACTTCAATTATCGGTATCTTAAGCATTCGACGCTATAGGCCTATAATACATAGTTCTGAGAGAGTTTTTAAATACACTAATAATTTTAAAAGGAAAATTAAAAATATTCGTTATATTAATCAACAGTAAGTAAAAGCAACCTCGAGTTCACTGAGTCAACTTTATATGAAAGTTTCTTGTTTCCCTGTAACAAGCGCTCTGTGAAACGAACTAACAAATGAGAATGCGTCCTTGAAACTTTAAATTATAGGTATCTTTAGGCAATTTATTTGTGGAACACAGACTACAATATCACATAACAGCTACTATCGGACATATGCAAATGCTTGTGGGAAACGTGTCCTGTTGTATCATCAACTAAATGGGACGTTCATCAGTGTTTCCGAGCAACATTGGAATAAATGATTTATGTAGTGCGTAGATTTATTTATTTTATATAACACTAATATGAATTAATAGTTAGGAATTTGAAGGATTGACACTATAAGAAATAAATTATTGCTTTAAAAATGTAATTGTTACTAGTACATGAAAATTACAGTATTTCTACTATAAAAATTTGTGATTTGTCGTCGTCGTCAATTTGTAGCCAAGCAATTACGTCATCAAACAATGTCACCTTATATATTTGTTTACTCGGCATTGTTGTGTTGGTATGCCGAATAAACAGATAAGGAGCTCCGAAAAGAAACTGATAGACGAAAGGAGCTCCGAAGGGAGCGTTCTGCTCTAGTCTATGTAAAATAAAGTGAACAGCAGTGTATATTGAAGCAACGGGCAGTTATTTTAATGGGTTTAAATCACGATGTTGCTCGATTAAATCATAATGCACGTAGAATTGTTAAAACTTTAATCGGGTTAGTGGTGTTGTCGCCGGTAGGCCCATTTTTATGTTAATACGCGAGGAGGACTGTACTGTGTGTAGCCAGTTCGAGTCCAGACAGAGGACAGATTAAGATTCTTGCTTTGTAGCAATGAAATGGGGCGGGTAGCATTATCATCACAACAATCGATATTACAAAATTAATGACCAGCGGCAATAAGTTTAGTTCCGTAAAACCACGGGCAGATCGGAGTGGCAGTTTCTGATAGCACCGTAACGGGATTAAACATGCGAACAGTAATCTGACAACGAGGTGACAGTGCTTCGTGACAATAATTACGACACTCCGTTAAGTTGTGTACCAGAAATATGAGTGTTTAGTGGATCGAAACAAACGCCAGTGTATTTATTTATAATTTATTTAAGGACGCTTTTTCAGTCGCTGGCTCAGACCATGTAGCTTCGAATGAGACTATGATAGTGAATTATGGAAAGGATGCGAAGGAAGCGGTCGTGGCCTGATTTAAGGTACTATCCCGGCACATGCCCGGAGGGAATGAGAAAAACCATTAAAACCCCAGTCAGATAGCCGGTCTCCGGGCCGAGATTTAAACCCGGGACTACCCAAATACGAAGCAGGAGAGCTATCCACTTGACAAAGACGTTAGGTCCAGCGTATTTTTTCGTTGTGAAATAAAATATATAAATTTATCAACACATACCTGTGTAATGAGCATTCATTTGCCAATACATTGACAAGGAACGCCACGACCTGGTCATCATTTTCGTCTATCCCTTAAACTGATTCAGATATGCCCTGTAATGAAGTCAATATTTTACCACCAGACAACATAGTCCACAATAACATATCCGATCAGACCATCTGAAAATGCTGACCCTGAAGATGGAGACAATATGTTCCTCTGAAAGGTTGGTGCCTACCTACAAGTTGACATGATGTCACAACCCATAACAACATCCTTAAATTGCATTATAGAATTGAATTAAACTATCTAAATGTAAAACTGACAGCACAAGATTTGTACGACTACAAAACTGTACGTAGGCTTTAATACTTACTATCGGAATTCCGTGTTTATTGCACACTAACAATGGTGGAAAGACTGCATAAACGAAAACACACTCTTCAAATTGCACCGTTTCATAAACATCCTTTCAATCAACATGCGCATGTTAAATTGAAATAAATATCAGTATAGCAAATTACATAAGACATTACGTCATGTAGGGTGCAATCGGTCGAGTTTGTTACACAAATCACATCGCCCTTAGCACAATGAGACAGACTGTTCCAGCTATAACTCGTCGTCTCGCACTCAATGGACTAAGGAGTGGTCGGATGGGGTTCGATTACCGCACAGGCACTGAGATTTCTCTATTGTGGGGCCTAACCATTCTCCTGAGTTTATTTGTACAAGGGTTTAATAATCGTCTAAAACGTAGAGCTGGCCTCTCTACTCCAGTTAATGACTGCGTAGTCACATTTATGATTTGATAGGAAGCGGTTATGTGTTAAATCGGGTCTGGCACGACCATAAATACAGACCTGAGGTCAGCGGGCATAATAGACTCACACATGGAATAACTGAGATTTAAATAATAAGAATTGACACTTAAAATGCTGTTCTGTTGGATTCATTATACGCACCAAAGGCTTTAAATTGTTAATTTGGTTATACCAAAAATCATGTTGATATATGTACGGTATTTTTATATCTAAGAGCATTTAGAATGCCAAGGTGCAAGAAAACGTATGAAAATTCTGTGTATATCTAATCCAACACTTTTTTGTAAAATGTGGCACACATTTGTGTGTCAGCCATTTCTCCAGGAACGTTCGAATCAATGGAAAGATTTTTATCAAACTTTTACGAATAAATGTCTCTACCGACAAACACAATATTCATGCAAACTTCTGAGGTGTGCATAACACTTACTGCAGCTTGACTGCTAGTTTTCTGAAAATTTGTGTCATTAGATCTTTGAGCAAAAAAGCAAGTTTTCTTGAGGTAATCTTTTGTAGAATGTAAATAACATGAAAACGGCCTGAAATTGTCATTTAGCTTCCAGTTTGATGGTGATAAGTAATGAAGTGCTGAAGCAAGGAATTTGAAATTTTGTATATAGACAAATCATTAACATACATACATATTCAGCTTACAGTACGGTTTGCATGTCAGGGATTACAAATAATGCAGCAGTGTGCGATTATATCTGACAAGTTTAAAATAGTAAGAATTTGCTCTAATTGAAATGATGCACACAAATAGATCATTTAACATTGTAACTGTTTATTTATTATAGTTCTTTTTAGCGTCACAGACAACCAAGGGAATACAGGCTTCTTACGTTTTCTTCCAGAACTTCTTGTTATATAATTTTATAATATTACTAATGCATAATTTTCTTTTTCAGTCAAATCAGTCCGAAAGTATAATTGAACAAGTGAGTTCACTTCCTCAAACTGAAATGAGTCAAAAATTAGAAAAATCAATTAAAAACACAGACCTGCAGAAAGAGAATCGAGACTTACCAGAAATTTCAGTTGCAGACCATGAACAAGAGAATATCCTTGGAACGTATAAACTGGCTACTATGCTCAGAAAACAGTTAGAAATGCTACAGTCACAAATGGATGAGCTTACAGTCAAATTTACTGAGAGAATAAATAACTGCAGTACAAGATCTGAACAGAAAATAAAAGAATCAGAAACGGATTTGAATGTACATTCAGAGGAGGAATTGAAACGGAACTATGAAGAACTGAGACGAGTAAATCAGGAGGACCAGAACACAATTGCCAAACTCCATACGGAAAATGATATGCTTTATGCAGAACTGAAAAGTTCTGCAGAATTTTACGAAGCAGACTTAACTGCAGAAAAATGGAAACGTAGTATTCTAAAACAACAGTGTCAATGGCATAATGGGGAAAAGTTAAAAATGAAGGCCTGCTATCAATCTATTCAGAACACACTGATTCAATGTATACAAGATGCTGAAGCACAGAAACTGGAAATGACGGCAGAGCTGAAACATGAAAATAATTTATCACAAAACTTACTTGCTTATAATGCAACACTTGAAGCAGAAATACGAGAAAAAGATGAAGAAATTTCTAATCTCACCACAGAACTTAATGCTGAAAGAGAGACAGTTTTAAAATTACTCAGTGACATTGAAGAACTTACCAAATTAAAGAATTTTAACTCACAGCCAAGTTTTCACCTTCAGTCAACAGTCAAAGATAACTTTGATAAAATCAAGATGGAAAGTGAAGCAGAAAACAGAAAACATCTTCAGAGGTAATTATTTTTTCCCCTATTAAATCTGTTTCAATATTATACAATTCCATTTGATTTCAAAATGTAATCTCGTGCTTCTTACAATAAAATTACCTAATTATAAATCTGTGTTATGTGGTTTTCTTATAGCTCAGATATGATGCCAGCAGTTTCCACTGAAGAGAAAACTGTTACCTGCGGATTAGCAACAGTAGAAGAATCTTCTCTGAATCAATGCGAGGAGACAGAAAATACCAAGGTACTACTGAATGTTGAAGATTATCATGACAAGTTGAAAGCTAAGCTAAGCTCAGTAAGCCCCAATCTATAAATGAAAAAAATCCTTAAAACTGATGTCTGCAGATTAGCAGTTATAGAAGAATCTTCAGAGATTCAACAATAAGAGACCGAAAATACTGAGGTAGTAAACAGTTAATTACCCAAATCCATGGCACAACACCTTTCTTAATCACTTAGCAATTTAACCAACTAAGTGACATAACATCTATTTACTAAATCATGAATTGTTTTTGCTAAAATTAGAGAAAAGAGATCTTTGGCGTTGTACGGGGAGATGAAATCAGGGTGGGGTAGACAGGGTTACACTGGTTGTTGTACGAGGGTGGAGAGGGAGGGATGGGCATGGTTCAGAGCGGGCATTTGGAAGCTGAGAGGGATGAGGGGGGGCATAGATGGAAAAATATGCCCTTTATGTGGGGCGACAGAAAGCGAGATTCACATACTATTAAAGTGTACGGAAACCGGGAGGTGAAGGGAATAGCTCCTGAGGAACAAGTGGTTCACCGTTGGTGAAGAGTTGGCCTTCAAGAAAATTTTAAGCACTACGAATGACACGGAGGTCAGGGATGTAGGGAA